CGTCACATTATAACGCCCCCACGGCTGAAAGGGTGAGCATGTTTAGTGGGATGGGGATGCGAACCCGCGACCCGCAGATTGCGAGTCGAGCGTCCTAACCACCTGGCCATGCCGGGCCCATTGTTAATGACCTCAGATAGAAGTGGAAAGAACAGCTGTATGTTATTAGTTTCAATCAGCTAAAAACAATCTCTCGACAAAGATTTGTGAACATGACTACAGAGAGATAAGATTTTCTACAATAGTAATCCTTTAAACTTGAGCAATCAACATATTAAAAGTTAAAAGTGAGATTTAAATAAGCATCCTTTTAATGATGTTATATATTAACTATAGAAATGAAAACATTTTACATATAAAACATCAGAAAATGCAAAAATATGATTATATATGGAATCAAAAACCATAATCAGTACCTTAAACATACACCGAATCATAAAAAACGACCATCTTTCTCGTTCAATATTTGTAGAAACATTAAATGTGATAAAAAATTTTAATAATAAATTAAATGTACTAGGAACACTATCCTCCTATAGAAACACGTAATATAAAAATTAAAACTATAAACATAGGATGAGACAACTTGAAATCTGTATGCAATCCTATGGAATTATAGTAACACCATCTGCCTTAAAAAAAACACACAGTATCTCTAGATCTAGTAAGACCATAAGCCTTTGTAAATTATATGTATGTGAACACTATAAAGTAACATGTATAAAAGGAAATATTCTGTCAAGAAAATAAAAATTACAGTTATATGGCTACAGGAGCAGCATATTTAATCCATAAACCCAAACTAGTGAACTGTAAGGTTGTCGTTAAAATAATGGTTTTACTTGTAACGTTTATAGAAACAGCTTCCGCCATAGCAGCACTAACCTTAATAACACAATTTGCCAAGTAATACTATCTGCCTATATAACTAGTACTACAATCCACCTAGTAACAACATCCATCTATGTAATACAAATAAACATATAAATAATAATTACAATAAAATGAATTAATTTGCTTGTTTTGAATTTTGCGCCAAGCTACATGACGGCTATCTGCACTAGCCGTCCCTAATTTAGCAGTGAAAGACTAGAGGGAAGACACCTATGTCATCACCACCCACCGCCAACTCTTGGGCTACTCTTTTACCAACGAATAGTGAGATTGACCATCACATTACAACGCCCCCACGGCTGAAAGAGCGATCATGTTTGGTGTGACGAGGATTCGAACCCGCAACTTTCAGATTGCGAGTCGAGCGCCTTAACCACCTGGCCATGCCGGGCATAATGGAATGGACATGTATGTAAATTAATACAGCACCACACAACATTCATTAATACTAATTAATTAGGAAAGCTAAAAATTAAAAACGAGAATACATCAAAAGGAAGGATAGTTCGAATCTTACGCAGCATATCCAAACATTAGGTGAAATATAATTAAATGAAAATTAATGAAAATAAAATCGCAGCCACAATACAAACATCCAACACCGGGGTACAAATCATAAGGTGAGTCGTTATGTAATATGCCCTGCTTTTCAGAGAAACTGACGGAAGTACGACCCAAATTGCATTAGAGCCTCACATGATTATAAAAGAAACAAACCATGTGAGGCCAGTGAAGTTGAGGTTAAACTGTATAAACGGTGTGTCAACTGTATTCAATCTAGCCAGCTGTTTATAATTTCGTAGACTTCAGTATGGGGTCCGGAAGATTACCTTTGGTCCATGAATGAGTCCATAAGAAATTAAGACAAAGACTGAAAACCATTGGTCAAAAAAAAAGAAAGATACTTTTTGATTTATAAATTAATGCTGCAATTTAATTAAACGAGCTCAAAGATTAATCTTTTATTGGGGGTATGATAGGAAGTCGTCTCAATTCACCATATAAACATACATTGTCTCTAGCATCTTATTCCATAACAATTCAATCCTTTAGAGCTTCAACAAATATACCTCGCAGGCCTTAATCTGTGCAAAATTATTTATGATCAAACAAATACATTTTCAGCATGTGGAATAAGATTACTTTTGAGATCAAAACAACAACAGTCAAGGAAAAAAAAAATCTTAATTTGTGATATCCCTTTATGGCATTTCAATTATGTACCATCTTCCTCATAACAGTACTTTGGAAATCTCATGACCTTAAAAACATAGTAAAAACTTACTGTGTGAAAAAGCTACTATTAATATTTTATAATGGTTATTTCCCATTTCTACTATAGCACATGAAATGAGTTAATATTCAGGTTTCCAGAAACATCGGCCACAAATCATACATTTTACATACCCTGTATCATATAATGGTCACAGCAGATCTTTGACTAATCATAATCTGCACGTTCGAATTTAGATTTCGGTTATCAAAAAGTAAAACGTACTTTGTGTTCTGAATTAGATCTGGTTTTTACAATGTGCTACTAATAGTTTGAACTAGCGATACAGTAAAAATGATTGATGTTGATAAGATGCTCAGTTCATATTTGACCGCTTCCCTGTGGTTCAACATTAAGTTCGGTGACTTAAAATGCTAAAATCCGAGGTTTGACTTCCGCGGTGGACAGAACGCAGATAGCTCATTTTGTAGCTTTCGCATAAAACAAAAAATATTTGGCCTAATGTTATTTGTTTGTACTAATTTTCCATTAGATAAATCAACTATCTGTATTTATGTATATCGGTATGTACTAATGTCGCATGTTTCCAATGAACAACTTTTTTTGGACTGTATTAATTAAAATGTTTTAAATATTCAGAGTTATAAAACATGCTAGTAGTTTAATCTTTAACTGAATAGTTCACCGAGACTTACCACAACAGGTCCATTTTCCCCAGCACTGTAGACTGTCGCACCAAACCACTGATGCGATTTGTTTTCTGTATGTTCCCGTTTATTCTCAGTGATGATTTCTCCAGAACCTAGATTTTAAAATATCTCTAGTGAAATCAGCAGAAATATAAGTTTTTAATATTTCAATTAGTCAGTTAGTTTGAGTAACGTAACAATATATAAAAAAGAATCTTTGAGGGAAATAACCTTTGTTTATAACTGTTAGGAAAAATTAACAATCCCTCTAAAGTTTGCAAGATGTGAAATTTTCATACAATAAATAGACCAATGGCCGATACTCTAATATTTCATGATACTCCTACCTACGGTATGAAGAAATTAGTATGCGATTGTAGCCTGGTGTCTTCTGATCCCCAAAACTGGCATTACAGTTGACAACTCCACTGGTCAATATGCTTTTTAACCATTTTCAAGGTAACCATATAACATGAAAAACCAAATGCTGTAATTTGATTGTGAGTTTTAGCTTACTTTTAACCTTAGAAACATCTTAAACGCTATCGTATCAGCATCTTATGTCAGTTTATGGCAATATCGACTCAAAATACTAAAAGTCACGAGTATTCAAACAGCTGTTTTATGATAAACATTCTTGTATTTATCAAGGAAACGTATAAAAAAACACTGTCACACTTTTGCCGATACTGAAATATACGTCTTTATTGTTTATTTGTGTTTATATAGTTATGTGGTAGTCATAATATTTTAGTGAAAATATATTATGATTATTCTGGTCAAAATTTCATTGAATGATACAAATTCCATGTTGATAATTTTTACTGGTAATGTGTTCTGATACTGGTCACAGCTTCAGTTAATGACAGATATTTCTACTACTACATGTGGCTAATGACAGTGTGCTAAAAGTTAGTGTTCTTAGATATATTCATAAATAACATCTGTACAAGTTTCTATTTTGAAGTATAAAAATTTCATTGCTCTTGGTATATCTTTTAGTTTGTCAAGATAAATTATATATATTTCTATACGAATATATTTTGGAGGAAGTAAAACTGATGATATGTTTCAGAATCAAGCATTAACCTTTTCTGTACAGTATCTCCAACTTAAAAAAACCGATGTGGTATCTCATTATTTATCTTTTTAAATAGTTGCAGAGTTTCATATTACAGATCAACTATTTCCAAACTTGGAGTATTGGATCTCTAACTTATATAACAAAGTGCTCAAAATAGAGAGAAGCCTCTAACCACCTTATGAATGGTCAAAATTTGCTTATTCAATAAGCTTTAGGTTATTGTAAGCAAAAATGTGTATCAGACTCCTGTAGTAGTGTTTATAATATTTCCAATGTACTCCTGTATGTCTTCAAATTGCAAAGAAATGCACTAAAAAGTTCTCAATGTAATAGAAAAATCGGGCAATAAATAACACAAAATAAAAGTATGTATTGGAGGCTGTTGTGGTCATCTTTTGAACACTCCAATTTATCATATAGATGGATTTTTCTATGGTTTCTGGTGTTCTGGAATCATAAACTATCAAGGTATAAAGGCTAATTGCAAAATATATCCTTGTGCGTCTTGCGAAAATTTCTCAAGCTCAAACTCATAACCATGTTATATTATTCGGTTTTTAATGCTATATAGTTACCTTGGTAACGGATAAAAAGGCGCACATTGGCCAGGGGAGTAGTAACACCTATGTCATATTTGGGATCAGCACACACCAAGTTGGAATATCATACTAATTTCATTTTGCTTTACCATTGGAGCAGGAGTATCTTCAAATTTAGTCATTTGACAGTGATTTAGTTCAGAAAATATACTCACATTATTTTCATTTCATTTTCGGTTGTAACTGATTTTAAAATAGAGTGAAGCTATAAAAGATTTGGTGTTTTATTTTCACACTCATTAATATAGATTATCAATCGAATAAGTTAGTTAGCATAAAAACAAACTTCAGATTGTATAACTAAGTATACTCTTCCGAACATTATGAGTACATAGACTGGAATGATGAAAAAGGTTTAAGACAAGTGGCTGCGATATTATGTGGAATATAAAAAATCAATTTAATATTTCCAAATTTAGTTTAAACTAACCCACTATATTTAGCCATTTTTCCAAGTGTAAACCACATATCATGGCTCAGAACCTTTAATTGTTTTAAAGTGGTAAAATGTTACGCATTTATCGCGTAGGAAGCAATTTCTAACGGTAAGATCATCCTGACAAAACTGGACATTATAAATTTTCTTCATACCGGAGGACCTTACTAAGGCAAAAGAATTACCAGATAAGCTCAAGAAATTAAGAGGGTGAAAAGATGTGTAGTATTTTGCAATAATCACACTCTTACCGATAGATAAAAAACAAGAATCATTTCTCTTTATATATGTTACTTTACAACAGATTTAAGTATATTAATCATATATACATTAATTTATTAATACTCAAAAACTACACTGAGTGGTCACAAGTAAATAGACACCTAATTTTTCGTCATTGAACTGATTTATGCTAACTAATTTGTGTTCACAGAGCTCTATATAAATGAAAATGGTCCGCACACTAATTATCTTGTGCTACAACATGCCTAGAACTCAAGGTTCTCTCGAATTGTCAGATTTTGTTAGAGGAAGGATAGTTGGTCAATCAGATGGTGGAATAAGTCAGCGGCAAATTTCGCAGAATTTGGAAATCACGCTTTCGACAGTCAACGGAATCATCGTGCAGTTTAGGAAACACGGCAAGAAAACAACTGAGCAACGTCCGGGTCTTC